TAATGCAATTATAATAAAACTTCCATTAAGGGGTTTTTGGTGTTTTGGTGTTTTTTTTTTTTTAGGTTTAGACAAGTGGTTTCTGAAATTTGTATGAAAATCAAAACAACTAGAATAGTCAAAGAATTGTGAAAAGGAATGAAGCTAGAGGAAGGAATCCTACTACTTGATTTAAAATAGAAGGATAAACAGTCAGGTGTGGATAAAGTCCAAAAGGGGGAGAAGGGAAGGGGAGCCGGGAGGTCGAGGGTGGGAGGAAGTCACCAGGACAAGAGTTTGGTGAATGGAAGGGGGTGGGATGAAGAATTAGGAACGATCCAGTAGCGGCCTGGAAAATTGGGGTAATAGCAATAGATCATTTATGACTAATTTTAGAAAGCACAGTGCACATGACTCACTGTGTGAAACACTGTATGAGAGTGCAGGTATGTATAAAGCACAATATATATGAATGGCACACAATGCCTAATTTTGTTTGCAAACCAGTATAAAATAAAAATAAAATGGGGAGAGAAAGCATATTATAAAGCTATCATAATCAAGACAGTGTAGTACTGGTAAAGGAATAGACAGATTAGGAGAATCCAGACATTGACTCCCTGACAAATTGTTGTGGTTGGATGTTGTTAAGTCAACCTTTCTTGACTCCTAGCTACCCTGTGTGACAGAGTAAAGCTGTGTCACAGAGTTTTCTTGGCTGTCATTTTTACAGTAGCGTATCATTATGTCTCTCTTCCACAGAGCCACTGGGTGGATTCGAACCATCAACCTTTCTGTTAGTAACAGAATGCTCAACTATTCACACAATGAAGGCTTCTTCTATATGAATCTGTTCCAACTCATGTGTTATTGTTGTGGTGTACCATAGAGTCTGAGCCGACCTGTAGCTGACCCTCCGGAGGGTTTTTAGAGGTAGTTAATCATATGGGAGCTAATCATCGTCCTGCAGAGCTGGCCTTGAGTCACAGGATTGCAGTACAGCTTCTTGCCACTAGTCCACCAGGGGTCCCAGTGGGAGACAATTCTAACTCATAGTAAGTAACCCTATAAAATTTCAGCCTAGAAAACTGTATGTGGCAGTTCTGTTTTGTTATCTTCCCATTGCTGTTGAGTTGATTCTAACTCGTAGTGACTCTGATAAAACTGAGCAGAACAGTCTCCAAGGCCATGAATCCTTACTGGAGCAGGTGGCCTTATTTTCCTCCCAAGGAGCTGTTGCCGAGTTCAGACCCCTGGCTTAATGCTTGCTGGCAATCCATAGGGTTCCTAACTCTGTCTTGGGCCGTCATTATAATCAGGACCTAAAAACTGCTGTTCTGACAGTCTCTCTCCCTCCTCACTTGTTTTCAAAACTCACATCACTCATTTTCAGGGCCCCTGTGACTGAGACACACATGTTTCAGGTCATACTCGGTTCTTCTCCTACGTGAGTCTCTCCTCCCAGGCTCTGATTTAGGCTTTTGAATCACAGTGCTACTTGCATCTATTTAGCGCCATCTTGTGTCTAAAATGAATTTTACAGGAAGGATTGCTTTGGTAACTCTGTGTATCAGCCTTTGCCAGGCCAATTAGACATTAGCTTTCTGGTGACTTACTTCCTTCGTTGTGATCAATGCATACAGCCATGCAGAGAAGCAGATCTTAGAAAGATTATTAGGAAGTCAAATTGCTTCTTATTCTTGCAACAGTTTCCTTAGCAGTGAGGATTGAGACCCTTCATTCCTACCTTCTCAACCTTGAAGTGGGTGTACCTTTCAGAAGACTGAAGTGGCTACATCATTGCACCTTGTGCTATTAGGCTGATTTAGAAGATGTTAAAGTGTTTCGAAGGATGATGTCTTCAACAATTGAGTGCTGGGTTTGGGAAGGACCTGTAGTGTGAGTCCCCTACCCTGGACTCTTGCTAATTTGCTTTGTGGGGAGAGGTTAAAGGGAAAGTGGGACCTGAAGTGCTGAACTCCCGGGTCTCTCATGGTGGCTGTCTCTCTGAAGGAGGGAGGGGTGTGCTGGCCTCTGTTGTTGATCCTGGTGATGATGGAGTAAAAAGTCTAAGAACAAAGAAAAGCACCTAAGACATGATCCAGTTTTATTTCTGGTCTTTGGGTTTATTTATTTCCATGAAACAAATTGTTGCTAATGAAAAATTGAGAAAATAGATTTTAAAATAGGGGAAATACACCCAGAAAGCATATACCAAACTCAAAGGCCATATGTCTCTGACATTTTGAATCCTCAGGAGAAAATGAGCAGTCTCCTTCTGTGAAATTGATAGCTTCTAAAAACCAACTTTAGTCAGTTCTGCTTTGACAGTGATCAGGGTGTTTTGTGTGTGTGTTAGTTTATGGTGCATCAAGATTTGTGTGTTTCTACACTGCACTGAAAAACAAGGAACTCATGCAATATTATTCCAAATGGGTGACCCTGGAAGACATTATGCTGAGTGAAGTATCTCAGTCACAAAAGGACAAATACTGCACGGTGCCACTGTTGTAAAGCAGGACTGACCTCGGGGTTGGGAGGAGACTGAGAAGGATGAGTTCAATAATGTATGCGGCATTGAAACAAATGAGGGAGAAAACTGTTTAAGAGGGAAAATTATTAGGGATTTTTGTCATGACAGGAGTCCAGCACGAAGGCTATATCGTGAAGTGGACTTGGGTGGAGGGATTGTAAAACAATGAAAGAATTTTTCTTTTACTTTTCCAAGAGGGTAGTATACTAGGGGGGAAGGTTGGGAGAGGAGAATAGTGCAACAATGAATGAATGGAAATCCAAAGTCTCTGTAAATTTTCATTGAAATGAATAATACATTTTTTAAAAGTACCCCCCCCAAATATTTGTGTGTTTTGTTGAATGACACTTATGACTTTATACTTATTTTATTAGGAATGTTTTGTAGCTTATGACAATTTCTGTGTATTCTGGGTTATATAACTATTATAGTTTTAGTTAATATTTTTATATTATAAATGATATTTAAGTAGATATCTTTCCTTTAGTTTTCTAAAATTTTTTCATCTAGGGTAATTTCCTCAAATCCTAATGACTAGGGTGGAGCTTAAAGTTGCTATTCAGGCTGTTAGTATAGGCATTTCAGAGCCTACCCAGAGTGCTGATGTGAGTATTAATAATACCTATAAATTCTCCCTTTGAGGGCTTCACATATGATGGGCATTAAGTAAAGACTAGCATTTTAAAACAATTACCTCATGAAAAAGCTTTATGAAGGGTTTGCATTAATTAGACCTGCTCCTAGTACCATATGAATTTTCTAGTTTAAATTCCTCCCACCGTAGCATTTGATATCTAATAATGGCTTTTTAAAAATACTTCTGGTAATTTAGTTAAAGTGCTACTTCATTATTGTTTCAATTTTAATTTCTCTTATTAGCAAGGCTGAACAAGTTTGTATCTTGTTGTACAGAAAGTTGTTTCGTTTATGAAATTGTTTTTTTCATTTTTTAAAACATTTTCTTATCAGTTTATAGAAATGATTTGTACATAAAATAGTTGAATTTTTAACCATATTTGTTCTCATATGTCCACTTATCAAGTGTTGCACATTTCTATCTAATTTGTTTTATGATACACACATGTATCTCATTAAGATTGGAGGGGAGCTCAGTGGTTCAAATCTACTAGCAGCTCCAAGGGAGAAAGATGGGGAATCTCCTCCCCTTCAATTATAGCCTTGGAAACCCACAGGAGGGTCAACTGTGAGTTCATCTCAACCTGGTGGCAATGAGTGAGTGAGTAAGTCTACATCGATAAAGATTTAAACTTTGGAAAACCCGTGGAGCGTTTCTCCTGTGTCCAGGAAGATCCCCGTGAGTCAAGTTGTTGATTTGCCTGTAAGGTTTTTTGTTGACTTAACTGTGATGTTTTTGTTTGTTCTTTTTAAAATTTCCATTTAGTCTTTATATAGATGTCCATGTATTTCCATGTTTCTTGTTATCATTGTTGGTGTCATCAAATCAGTTCTCACTTATTTGAACTGCCTTATGGGCTCTCCTAGGCTGTGCTCTTTTCAAGAGTAGATTCCCCAGATCTTTGCTCCTGCAGAAAAAAAATACTTTAAAGGCTTAATCGCTCTACCTACCCTGCCTCACACTTAGATGCTAAGAGTTTAAAAATGGAGTTAATGTTTGTTTTAAAAAAAATTATAACATGCCTTTTATATGTCTTTTTTGGACAATAATGACATGTTGTAACTATATTTTCCAAAACTAAGGATTTAGGGGTTGATGTAGACAATTTTTTTTTCATGATTTGTGATAGTTTTATCAGAAAACTTTTAAAAATCAACTATAAACACTACGTTTATATTTCTCATTGAAAATAGTTGCCATAGTTCAAGATGAGCCCATAGAATCTGGGGACTTTTGTGAGGGCTCTAAACTAATTGCTTATTTTCTCCCCAAGCTTCAATCTGTATTCTTCCGTTTTTCTCTTTTTCAGCCACTTCCATTAAACTTCCTCTTTCTTGTTTATGCTTTCACGTGGCCTCCCATTTAAACCTCATTACACATAAAAATAGTCGTCCCTTTCAAATACATTCTTTTTGTTTGCTTTTGTTCAGAAGGCATGTTGCTTTTGAAAATGTCATTTGTCTTCTTTGTTCTAACAAGAATTCACAGATGCCATCTCTTGCTGCCTTCACCCATGCTGGGGACTATGTACAGATAAAGAAATGTCAACATATGTGTTTGGACATCAAGACACAAAGCAACAATCACAATTACTGGTGCTGGTGCCTAAATTGCATCCTCTAGATCCTAGGAATAGCTCTGGTTTCTTTTGGTGTGGTCACCACTTTTCTCTCTGAGTTTTCTCTCTGAGATGACATCTGGCTCGTCTCAGAGCTCAGGAATTCCCTTCAAATTTGATCATTGACATACTGTGTACGCAGAGCGTCAAAAGCTCAATGGATGTTATGATTGTTACAAAGAATTTATTTCTAAACCCCTAATGTCTCATTGTTTCTTTTTTTCTCTCTACAGCATTGGGCCAGATTATGTTGTATGTGGATGGGATGAATGGAGTAATAAACCACAGTGAAACTATTCAATGGCTGTACACGCTCATTGGATCAAAGGTAAGAGGAATTTTTGACTGACTGCTTTATGCGGCCTGTGTACCTCCTTTTTGTCATCTTCTCTGAGCTGAGACAATTTTGCAGAGAGAAAGCATATTTGTTGTTGTTTTTGTTGTTATGTGCCGTCGAGTCACCTAAGACTCATAGAGACCCTATGTGCAACAACCCTAAACTCTGCTCTGTCCTGTGCCATTCACACTGTCTCCGACACACCCATCCTGATTACCCCAGTCACTGAATCAATCCACCTCATAGAGGGCCTTTCCCTCCTGCGCGGTCCCTCCACCCTCCCAAGAATGA